CAAAAAAAAACTTTCTAAGACATCTCTGATGGAGACAGGAAGGTAGAAAATATACATCTCATCTAAATATTCATTTTCTACATCAACCTTACACAGCTTTAAAAAACTAGATTAAAGCAGTAATGCAATGCTCAAGAAACATATCTTTAAACGTGATTTTTGGCTGATGTTGGCTTCATATTCATGAGAGCAGAAAAATGTTTCATAAATGTCAAGATATGGAACTAGTTTTAAACTTACAGGAAATAATAGTGTAGGCATGTTTTCAAATTACTTACCACAATTACTGATTTTGCTTGTTCACAATACTGGAAGTCTCCATATCGAACAGACCTACGTCCCTGTAAATAAAGGTATTTAAAATTAACTAGTAAAAATATTATATTCAGTATTAATAACTTTTGAATCAGTAAACAAATGAACATACTTGAGCACAACTCCAATCAATTTTTAATATTTACAATATTTATTCTATTTACTGATGAAAAATAAATTATTTTCCTTCAAAGTTATCCCAACATTTTCAAGCCATTAATAAATGTACTTCCTGAACAAGACAAAATTTATTCTTCTAGCTCAGGGGTCGGCAAACTGCGGTTCGCTAGCTGCAGTTTGCTGACCCCTGTTCTAGGCTGTTACAATTAAAAAAAATTTTTTTTTACCAGCTTAAAAAAAAGTTTATTTGGGATCATGGAGGCAAATATCAGCAGAAATAGTCAAAGTGTGACTACTTCCCTCTGGGGATAAAGCATAGTACCTAGGCTGCTATAAATTCTATTTTCATAACTGAACATTTCTAATCGCTGTAGAATGAGAGCAACTCTACCTACATTTCCTCCTAAACTTTCTATCTGATAATAGCTTAGTTATACCCAATATAAATTTGGGCCAATATTCAAATGAAATTTAAAAAATAGCCTAGACATACATAACTTAATTCAATATCCTAGGACAACTTGTCTGTAATAAAAGTTCAATTTATTATGTGACATCAATATAATGAAATTACTTACATCTCGATCTACTGTAGTTGCAAAGCCAATGGCTTCCTTTTGTGTACAGTTAACAGCTTTCTGAAGAGTATAAATAACTTGTTCATAGGTATGAACCTCATCATTGAATAGCATGCAATAATAGGTGTCACTCTTCTCACTGTGGGATGAAAACATTAATGATATATTATCTATGTGTATTATCTTGCCCAGGCTGATTTATTAAGAACATACTTTGTTCTAGGGAATGTGATAGGTATTGGGCGCATATCTGTAACAAAGTCATCCATGGTTCCCACCTCTATGATACACATTACCATCTGCTGAGGAAGATAGATATTGGACATATAATTCTATGTGAACTGGTTTTTATCAAGAGAGGGGTAAAACGGGTCTGGGAGTTCAGGGAAGAATTGCTAGAGAAGTAATCTGAGACCCGAAGTCAGAATTGGCTGTCAGTGGTTCTTAACAGGAGGCAATTCTCCTCTACTTACCATAGCTGACCATGTGGCAATATCTGGAGACATTTTTGGTTGTCATGACTGAGATGGGAGTGCCACTGGCCTCTAGTGGGTAAGGGCCAGGCATGCTGCTAATTATTCTATAATCACCGGACAGTCCCCATAATAAAGAATTAATCTGGCCCAAAATGCCAACAGTGACAAGACTGAGAAACCCTGGGCCAGAGGAAGGTGAAGGCAAAAGCCCTGAGGTGGCAAAGATAAATACTGGGAGCTGGGGCACAGGGAAGGGGAGGGGATTAGGCTGGAGAGAGGCAGGAGTCTTAAAGGCCTCATAATGGATTCTGATTTTGCCATCCTAAAGAAAACCAAAGATTTGAATAGGAGATACGGTCAGTTTGCCTTACAATGTGGAGAATGACTTGTGAGGGACAAGGGTGGAAATAGCAGTACAGCTGGGGAGGCCATGTTGTCCACGGGTGAAATTAATGTAATCAGTACTAGGACAGGAAGAATGGAGATGAACAGGAATAGAACAATTTGATAGAAGGAGAACCAGTTGGACTTGAAACCTAAATGGATATGGGCGATTCAAGTTTTTAGGTAGATGGAGCGCCATTTACTAAGATGGGAAAACATTATAAGAGAAGGAAGTTAGATTCTTTTCTCTTTTATGCTGGTAGTCCTGAACCTACAATGGAACAGAAAAATAAAAACAAAACTTTTCTCTTCTCCAAGGTCTAAATTTGGATCTTAGATCAATGGTTCCCAACTTGAAGTAACATGAAGATAAAGTCATGACGTACTAAGTCATTTTCAACATTTCCGAAAAGGTATAGTTGACACCTCATTTTATTAAAAAACAACCCACAACTGATTATCTGGAACACTGTTGAGAAAGCAAAAAAGAAACGCCACCGATGTCTTTCAGACTGTCACTCCAACTTGTATTCAACTTCAACTATGAAAACAATGCCAACAAGCTTGGTTAGAATTAAAAGTAAAAGAGAAGGCCGCTGAAGGCAAGCACACTGACATGGGAAAGTCAGCCCTTAACCTTACTAGAGCTATGGCAGAATACACTTCTCTGGTCACAGGTTTGCGACCCTCTCAATAATCTAAGTATAAATGGTAAATGTGTTAAAAGTACACTTAAAGAAGCTCAAAGTGTGGAATATGTTTTATAAAATTTTAGAATCAAAATGGTTAAAACTGAGTTTGCGCATTTAGTCAAACCAGAAAACTCACTTATATCAAAGAGCTCATTTCCTAATCATAGCTGATGGCTGAAACAAAATGAATTGTAGAATTAACAGTTTTATCACACAGAGAGAAAACTGCCTATGACTGAAACAAGTGGTAGAGCCTTGATGTGGCTTAAATATGTCTATAAACTAACTAAACGAACCAACCAATAGGAAGAAATCTCCACCAGTTAAGTGGATCACACATATTTTAAAACTATAAAGGTTACTAGTCTGCTGAAAATTAATTATTGAAAAAGAAAAGATTATGTTCTATTCTAGATGTATTCAAGTTTATATGAGCAATTAAAATCAAAATGATTAAAATCAAGTGTAAACACAAATATGAATAAATGGGTTGTACTTACACCATCTCTAAATCTGCTGGCAATTCACTTTCTTTTTCCCAGGTTAGTATCTCTACTGCATACCGAAACATAATAGCAAAAATGTTGTAAGTTCTGGCTATTACATCTTCTGATAAATGCACAAGAGGGTCCTGAAAAAAGAACAGAAAAAGAAATGTAACCTTGTTGAATGCACATTAATCCCCCTCTTCCCCGTTCTGCCTCTACCCCTCAAAATACTACTGTAAAAAGCTGGGGCCGGCTGAGTGGCGCGATGGTTAAGAACTCGCTTGGGATGCCAGAGGGCCCCGGTTCGGATCCCACATATGAGGGCCAGTGACANGTTCAGCATCTCAGCTGTAGAGGGCAGTGTCACTGGCCCTCATATGTGGGATCCGAACCGGGGCCCTCTGGCATCCCAAGCGAGTTCTTAACCATTGCGCCACTCGGCCGGCCCAAGAAATAATTTCTTAAAACATAAAATGTACAAATCAAAGAGATATATTTTGCTACATTAAAATTTAAAGCTTTTGTTCAATGAGAGGTACCAGAAACAAACTTAGAATAAGTCACATATTGGGAAAAGATATTTGCAACAAAAGATAAAAATTCAGATTACCCTAAAAATAACTAAAAAAAAAAAAAGAGATAAATAACCCAACAGAAAATTATGGGTAAAGGGCCCAAATAGGAAATTCACAAAAAAGAAAACTTGAATGACCAATACAATAAATTCATGAAATAAGATACTTAGAAATCAAATAAATGCAAATTTAACTGACAAGATGCCATTCATACACATCAGATTGGCAAAAATTATACCACTGTTGGGAATATTTATTGTACTATCATTTTGGAGGCTAATTTGGCAAAATCTAATGAAGCTGAAAATGCTCATACTCTTAACAACTCAGAAATTCCATTTCTGGTATAAACCCTAGAGAAACTTTTGCACATATGCAACAAGAGAACAAAATAATGTTCATAGCAGGACTGCTGGTTATAGCAAAAAATTGGAAATATCCTAATCATCCATCAACAGGAGAATGGAAAAATCATGGTACAGCTATCAATGGAATATTTTACAGGTACATATATCAACAGAGAACTCTAGAAACAATACTGATATAAAAAGGCAAGTCGCAGTATAATACATTCAGTATGAATCTTGTATTTAATGCTTAAGGGCCTCCAAATCAATATATATGTTGACAGACATTTATTAAAGTATAAAGATATGCATGAGAATAAAAAATGAATTAAAGTATCTTCGGAAGGAGGAAACTGAATGGGATTAAGAGATAATATAGGGACCTCCATACTATTTAAAATAAGTATGAAGAAAATAATGTATATAATGTGGGCAAACAAGTGTTTGCATTATCTCTATTTTTATCTGTATATTTAAAATATTTCACAATATATAACATTTTTTTTAAGGACATTTACACAAAATGCAGTTACATGGGATAGTTAAAAATAATAAGTTCTAACTTTTTTTTTTAAGCTGAGCCATCCTACCACTTGTTGGCAGCTCAGTGGCAGCTCAGGTTGGGCCGGCAAATCACAACGGCGACCCTGTTGCTCAGAGCTTGCAATCTTGAGCGAGCTCCTAACCAACTGAGCCGCTCGGCGGGCCCCAGTAAGTTCAAACTTTTAAAATTAAGTCTAAATATGGGTAAATTTTCTTTCAGGGAGATAATACGTACACTAAATGTTACTAAAATATGCAGCATACCTTTCTATAAGGTAACAAGAAACAACTTCCCTTGAATTCTAATCTTGGTTTAATTCCTAAAAAGTAACATAAAACCCTATCAAAAACAAAACGGGGGCCAGCCGAGTGGCACGTTGGTTAAAAGTTGGCTTGGGAGTGCCAGCTCTGAGCAGCAGGGCCCCGGTTCGGATCCCACATGAGGGCCAGTGACACTGCACCCTCTACAGCTAAGATGGTGAACAACAGCCCGACCTGGAGCTGGGCTGCCGTGAGTCACCAGCAATGGCATAGGCTGCACTGGGGCTGCAGTGAGCTGCTGTCAGCTACCGTGAGTGGCTGGTAGCTG